ATCAACCGATGGTCACGAATACTGCTTTGAAAGTTTCCAATGAAGGCAGTTCCCAGTTTTCATCTCTTAAACATGTTCATACTTAATGACCCTTTTGGGAGCTCTTCCTTTTTTTTTTTTTTTTTTTTTTTGGCTTTAGCAACTTCACTGCCATTTGTGCCTTTTCTTTAGAAGCTAATACTATAAGTTATTGCATGTGTGTCTTCCTTATTACATATGATGAGCAGCTCAAAACTAACTATGGACTTCTACCCTGCCCCTTGTCTTTCACCCAAAAATGGAGTAAACATGGGTATTCCCACAATCATGTTAATTTTAGTTCTTATCTCTCAAGTTAATTTATTAATAACTATCAGCCTTTAGTACAGCAGATCAAAGGACCTATTTGTATCTGTCCAAGGAAGACTGAGATTAATAAAAGAGAAAGGATGCCAAACAAAAGGACAAATGTATTTAATGTATGTCAAGCACCTGTAAAACACTAAACACTTTTATATATCTTCCCTGGATTCATTCATTAAATCTGTATTTAAGAGTATGCAGGAGGCATGTAGAGCTATTTCCTCCATTTCCATGTGAGAAAACTGAGGTCCAGAAGTTGAGAAGTTAATATAGTTATTAAGTGACAGCAGCAGGCCAGAATCCAGGCTTATCTGGCTCCAAAGTCTGAATTCCTGAAGACTTCACTCTAATACCTCCCAGGACCTGCAGATGGGGTCCCTTCTGGGGGAGGGACTTGCGCTTTGATCATTAACTAGGGAGCATGGGAAAAAGAAATAATTTCCAGGGTGCAGTGATAGCCAGACACCATCTCTTCAACGGTGCGTGTGTGCTCTCTCGTAAGATGTTTCAGGTACCATGCCTCCCTGATTTCTTTGAGTAAACAGGGTGAGTCACCCTACCTAATGAGATCAGTGAATGTTAGCTTAAGCCTTATTACTGGTGGTGACAGATACGGCCTTTACAGCCAAGGCCAGAGGTTCTTGCTCACCTGTTACACCTGAGAACAAATAGCTCTCACTCACCATAACTGATGCAGGCTTTTCATTGCCTTAGGTTTCTAGACAAAACAGGGATGACAATTCACCTGGGCACACTGGTGCAACCTGACCTGGAAGAGGGAGGGAGCTAAGGCAGGTCTGCCTGTGTACATGGACACTTACATTTTAGTGGAAACGCAAACATATCACAGGGTCAGGCAGCAGCAGAAAGCCAGGTGGGACCCCGACTTTTCTTGGCACACTGAAAATACAGCTGGTTCTCACATAGCCTGCTGGCTTTGTGCTTTCAGCCAGGGGCACTTGGAGTGGCAGAAAAGACCTGGCTTACTTTTCCAGGTAGGGGTTAACATTTTTGAGAATGAGGTGAAAGCATGCAGGATCCTATTCTTATTTTGGAGACTGGAGTGAGTCTGAGCTGGCAGCCAGAGGCGGGAAACCAGGAGGTGGCAAAGAGCTGCTTCTCATCCCTCTTGGAGCTGATGTTCCCATTTGCCTGCACCCCTGTATTGAGGATGCGACTCCCAAGGAGTCCCTCACAGATGCAAGAAAGTGGAGGACTGAAATAAAAGCTCCGAGAAGCATAGGCTTTTCTAGTCACTGATCTTTCCTGCCCGGTGTGATGTTGAGATACAGGGACTGGACAGATGTTGTTGTTCACTGGGGCATCTCATTCCAGCTGTGCACAGGCGTGGGAGGCATGAGGACCATTCTGTTCCCCACTGCACATCACGTTCGACCAGTGAGAATGTGTGTTTAAGTGGTTCTGTGCGAGCTGGTGTGTGGCCTGTGTGCCAGTGGCCCAAGCTTCTTTTTGCCAGGGCTACAGCACAGCTTAGTCCAGCCTCTTGGGCTACGTAGGTTTTTTCTTAGACAGTGAAGTGTTCAAAAATAATATAAAATAAAGGAAACTGTTAATATTACCTCTACCACATCTTCCAACTCAGTGAGACTCTGAAGTACCTGCAGCGAGAGTCCCACTAAGTTGGCATTTCACCCCAAAGTCAGGAAGAGTTAAGGGATATAAGTATAGAGTTGTGTCATTACACATACACACAGACACACACACACAATTCTTGAAACAATCATGCAATGCAAGATACTAACAACTAGTATTTGTGTTAATGCTGGACCCCACGTGCGCCCAGAAGTGTCTCTTCCTCCAGCCATCGCTGTGACCCCCACCCTCACAGTGGCTCACAATGGCTTGTCCTGACTCAGCTCCCTAGTGGGAGCTGAGTATTCCTGGGAGATGCTGAGGGGCACACTGGGGTATTCCTGGCTGGAGGGGGCCTGGCTGCCCCAGGCCCCCAGGGCATTGAGTCCTAATGGGAGGGCCCATTCTTTGTCTCTCCAGTAAAAGCCCCCACATCATTGGATGCCTCTTACCTCTTCTTTCCGCCTCCATCCCCAAAGCACTTGTTCATCACAGCTGCTGCTCCGAGATTTAGGCCAGGAAGGTTGCAGCTGTGTGCCCCTCAGCACCTCCCAAGAAGCTCTGCTACAGTGGACATCCTGCATCCCCCCCGGAGACTTTATGAACCCCGATTTTGCTGGTGGAGCCCTGATAAGTGTGCTTTATCTTCCCAGGCACCGGGATCTAGAGGCCTGGTCTTCGTCGCAGTCTCGGCTCGGCACTGTCTCACTCGGCTGGCACAGCACTCAGTCATGAAGCATTTTGAAGCTCAGAGACTCTGACCAAGCTGAGCTTGAGCCCTCGGCGAAAGGCAGGTGGGACAGAGAGGAACTCTGGAATTGTCTGTAAGGGGCCCTCAGACAGCCCTGCACAGGGGCACGAGAGCTCACGGGAGTCAGCACAGTCTGCCTTGGACTCAGGCTCTACGAAAGGCCTGTTTCCATATTAGGAGAAAGACTCCAAGCCCAGGAAGAAAGAAGCTGCCTGGCTTCTTGGGACCCATTTAGGAAGTGTGACAGGAGGTCATCTAAGAGCAGAGGTTCCAGTAAAACAGGTTCTGCTGCCTCTGGTTTCTGTCCCCTTCTGGCAGGAGACAGGACAGCAGCATGTCAGCAGCTGGAGTGGAGGGCTCTGGCCTCCCACCTTGGTCCACGTGTTCTGGGCTCAGGCTACGGGGGCTTCAACTTTCGTGTCTTTAGAATTCATACTTGAGGTTTGGGGTTCCTGTGCAAAGATAAGTGTAATCAGATTTCCCGCCAAGCCCAGGTCCCTGTCTCTGCTTCCTGACAAGAGACTCTGTTGAGATTTGAGTGGAAGAGAGAAACTGCTGGACTCCACAGAAGAAGGGAATTCTGCCTTTTCAGCTTCCTTTAGATTCTTTAAAAAAGGGGGTTGACAAGGGTACTGGGATCTGAGACTGGAAGGTCATCCCCTAGGGCAAAAGTTGGGGGATAAAGGTACTGATGCTAAAGAAAAGACCTCCTGAAGGTGAAAGTGAGTGTCTGCAGGGACAGCAGCAGCATCAATTACTGGAGCACTGGCCCATCCTGTCAGGATGGACACACCACTGGGGCTGAAGGTGATGCGTCACTTCCCTAAGTTAGGTCTGAGTCTCAGCAGCCCTGCGCCTGAGGCTGTAACCTGCCATGCAGAGAGGTCGTGATCTAGTCAAGCCTTGGGTCTCCAGCTTAGGTCACTACCAAGGGAAGTTGGTTTAGTGTGTCCTTAGGGCTTTCTTTAGGGCTGATCTCTCTCCTGCTGACAGTTCCCATCCTTAAACTGTCTGGTGATTATTTGAAAAAATGCAGAGGGCATGAGGAGCTGATACTTTGGCAACCAGATCTGTTGCAGGCCACCTAGCATGCAGAGGAAAATCAGCCAGGCACACTCACGCATGCTGTTCCTACCAGAAAGAACAGCCTCTTCCAGTGATGGTGTGGGCATCTGAGATGGGAGTAGGGTGGGGGGAGTGAGCGCGGATGAGTCTCCATTTCCTGCTTTGACTGAGACACAGTGGTTTACAGCAGCCAGAGGTGGACAACCAGAGATGCAGAGTTGGGTTTCCAGAAGGTGGGCTGTGCGGGTCCAGGTGGATGACAGCCCTGGGCTCCCAGGCCCACTGAACCCTTACTGAATTAACTATCAGAAGGAACCCCCCACTCCTGCCAGGGGTTGTCACACAAGACTGTGGAAAGATCTATGCAACACGACAAAATGCAATTTAAAATCTGGTTCTTCTTCTCGAACTTACACCCAAACTTGTCCCGAGATGGAAGTCTATAGGCATGAGCTGCAGAGCCCGGGAAGCAGCAGCCACAGCCTGCGGATCGCTTTCCGGCCATGACCACGAGTGGCCAGCAGGTGTCAGTGCGCCCTCGCTCTGTCGCGGCGCCTGGCCGCCACCAGGACCCCTCCCCATCGCGGGCCACCTTAGGGGAGCGGTCCAGACCTCCGGCTGGAGTCCGGCAGTCTGCTCTACGGCTGAGATCACAAGTGGCCAGCAGTCCTCGAAGCGGAGGTCTGAAGTCTGGTTTGCTCCTGGCCGGGTGCGTCCCATTCCTCCCAGGGTCCAGTCCGCACCTTCGCCAACTCCCTCGCCGGGACCCCACTTACCCCGCCACACGGAGCGCCTGCGGACCACGGTGGTCCGGCGCGGGGCAGGGCTCCCTGGATGCGACCAGTACTCGTGGCTGCGGCTTCCGATTCGGGCCCGAGGTCCCCACACCGTTTCCTCCCCCGGACCTAGCTCTTCGCGGGCGCTCCGGGGGGCCCGCTGCTATCCGCCGGGACAGCCCGGAACTTCTCGGCCGATTCCCAGCGGGGGCCGCTCCCCACACTCAGGACTGGCTCTTTAAACCTCTCGGTCAAGGTGCTCCCCTCTCCGGAGGTCCGGGCCATCCGGAGGGAAGCGCTCCCGGGGGTCCGCTGCGGGGCACTCGCGCTGGCTCGGGACCCGCAGAGGGGAGGCGCAAGGGCGGGGGAGGGTCGGCTTCCCACGTGGGGGCTGACGCCGGCTGCTCGGCAACGCAGGCTAGATCTTGGGGCTATAAAACCAGTCCACGGTGAGCGCCGCGGAGCAGCGGCGGCTCCCGCTTCAGTGCAGACGCCCAGCAGCCGGCGCGCCGCCGACCAGCCACCCCCAGCACCTTCTCCCGAGCGGTGCGCTCCTGCCCCACTCACGCTGCCCTCGGACCCGGGCCCGTCTGGCCGCCCTCAGCACCCTCCCCGCGTCGGGCCAACGCCCAGGAGAGACACCCTCAGCCCAGGCCACAGAAGCTGGTCGGTCGGTGGCCCACCCTCCTCGGCCCGCAAGGACTGGGGCGCCTTCATGCGGCCCCCACATCCCTCACCTTGCACCCCCGAGCCCCGCGCGCTGTGCCCCAGCCCCAGCAAGGCGCACAACTTTGGAAGTCCCGCGGCGCTCCGAGAGGCTGCAGAGTCTGCACCCTGGCCCCAAACCGGGCCCCGCTGGCACCGCCGCGTCCGGGCGGAGGGAGACAGTCGGCAGTCGCTGCTGCGATGTGAAGACAGACACACGTAGGACCCCAAGCCCGCACCAGCAACCCTCGGCCGCCTCCGGGGTGGGGGCGGGCCCCGCACACGGTAAGACCTCTCGCTTTCGTGCAGGCGCGAGCCAAGATTTATTTAGATCAATAGTAAAAGCATTTTTTGATCGTCCTTCCAAGTCGCCAGATTACCGACGATTTTTGTTCTCTTTCCTTGAAGACTACATCTCTTTACCCATCGGCTCCACCTACTCTCTCCCGCCGCTTAGAAATAAAACTTGCTGTGTCTGGCAGCGACAAGGCGTCCACCCCGAGCGCCCGAGGCGCGGGCCGGACGCAGTTCGTGGGAGCCGGGCCCATGGGCCGCTAGCCGCCCCGCAGCTCGGGCCCGGCTTCCCTGGGGCCCCCTCCTCATGTGAGGCGCGGCGGGGCGAGCCGGGCGCGGGAGGAAGAGGAGGACCCAAGGGCGCCGGCCCGGAAGGCAGCTGGCAGCAGGCCCAGCAGCTAGCACCCGCGTTCATGTTCCGCCAGGAGCAGCCGCTGGCCGAGGGCAGCTTCGCGCCCATGGGCTCCCTGCAGCCAGACGCGGGCAACGCGAGCTGGAACGCGACCGAGGCGCCCGGGGGCGGCGCTCAGGCCACCCCCTACTCCCTGCAGGTGACGCTGACGCTGGTGTGTCTAGCCGTCCTGCTCATGCTGCTCACCGTGTTTGGCAACGTGCTTGTCATTATTGCGGTGTTCACCAGCCGCGCGCTTAAGGCGCCCCAGAACCTGTTCCTGGTGTCTCTGGCCTCAGCCGACATACTGGTGGCGACGCTTGTCATCCCGTTCTCGCTGGTCAACGAGGTCATGGGCTACTGGTACTTTGGCAAAGCCTGGTGTGAGATCTACCTGGCGCTCGACGTGTTCTTCTGCACCTCGTCCATCGTGCACCTGTGTGCCATCAGCCTGGATCGCTACTGGTCCATCACACAGGCCATCGAGTACAACCTGAAGCGCACGCCCCGCCGAATCAAGGCCATCATCGTCACCGTGTGGGTCATCTCGGCTGTCATCTCCTTGCCGCCGCTCATCACCATCGAGAAGGGCGGTGGCGGCGGCCAGCAGCCGGCTGAGCGTCGCTGTGAGATCAACGACCAGAAGTGGTACGTCATCTCGTCGTGCATCGGCTCCTTCTTCGCGCCCTGCCTCATCATGATCCTGGTCTACGTGCGCATCTACCAGATCGCCAAGCGCCGAACCCGCGTGCCTCACAGCCGCAGGGGCCCCGACGCCGCCGGGCCGCCGGGGGGAGCCGAGCGGAGGCCCA